CAGTAAGCAAGGTAAGCATGGGCCTACTTGTGCTTACTTACTAATCTGTAGTGAGCAATTTGGGTGTTCCGTCTTTATTGCCCCATGTGGCAGCAGTAATGGGCTCAGGTGTAGCATCAATTGTAGGGTTGGCACAGGACAGGGCAGTATTTTGTTCTGTTGTGCATAGGTTCGCTATGAGTTGGTACTGACTCGATGGCACCTAAACAATAACCTTCAAGGATGGGGCCCAGGTCAAGTTTGTTCTTTCCCCACACAGATTCCTGCTTGTCTAGAACCCCACGTGCATGCGATGGGGTTTTGTGGAAGCCATCCGTTCCTGGGAATCCCAGAAGGAGCCTCGCTGGGACTGGCGGGTCTATGTCAGTTTAGGTGCTGTGAGCAGACACCTGAATCTAGGTGGCCAAGAACAGGGACTTTGCTGTCAGTTGTATGTAGAATAGGGAGGCGAGTCTGGTGTGTCCGAACCCCAAGGCTATCACCGGCCTGGGACTGGGCTTCCCAAATATTTTATCTGGTTTGGGTTGACCCAGAGAGACCCCAGCGATAGGAGCTGTGGAGTTTCTGCACACTTGGAGCTCAGCCGGCTTCCGGGTCTGCGTTCTGCCTTCCGTGCCACCTTCTCCATCCCTTTCACCCATGAAGGGGAACAACTAAGGGAGGAGGGTGACCGCCCCCACACCCTCACTGCCCTCAATTAGGACTCTGCTCACTTCTTAGACCCACTCTCCTCTCACAGGGCCAGACTTAGTGGGGCTGTGTGCATGGGTGCTGCACAATGGGTGGCCCTTCTACCCCCCACCCCACAGGATCCTCTCTGTGGGAAAGCATGAAGCACAGTGGGTGTGTGAATGACAACCCCATGGTGGGGGGGGGCAGGGCACTAGCCCAGAAGCCAGACTGCCAGGGCCCCAACTTGGTGGCTGAGTTTCCCCCTGTGAGGTTAATAACTAGGAGCAAGTTTAGTCGTACATCATCAGCACCAATTTTGAGCCCATGTGTCGAAGCAGAACTATGCTCCCTGGGATTTTCTCTTAATTTTGTCTTTAAATTTGATTTATTTTGTTGTTGAGACTATACACAGCAAAACATACACCAATTCAACAGTTTCTTCTTGTACCGTTGAGTGGCACTGGGGACATTCTTCAAGCTGTAGAGCCACGCCCACATTCACATAATTGCTCCTCCCACATTTGCATAAACCCACTGACCCAAAGTCCCATCTTATCTTCCCAATTAGACAGCGTTTAACAACAATAAGATAGTTGTTACAGAAGCATAATGCTTAAGATAGACTTTTTTTTTTTACTAGTTAAACTAAACTGTTGTTCAGTTTTAAGAAGATTTCAGGGGAATTTTTGATGTAAGATTTAAAGATGATCTCAGGATAATGGTTTTAGGGGCTCGTCCACCCTCCAGGACTCCAGAAAGTCTAGAGTCCATAAGAATTTTAAATTCTATTTTGCATTTTGTACCTTTTGATCAGGATTCTTCTGTGAAATAGTGGCTCACACTATTCAGTAATGGTAGGTGGATCCCAGCTAGTTTTTCTGACATCACAGCGAAGGAGGAAGTTAGTTGTTCTTGGAAGCAATTTGCCCCACTTTCCATCTCCTCCTCCTCTTCCCGACTCTCCTTCTTCCTCTGTTCCTCCAGGCAAATCGAGACCAATTATTGTGCCCTGGATGGCTGCTTGCAAGCTTTTAAGATCCCAGTCACTGTGCGTCAAGCTAGGAGGTTGAAAAGAAGCACTAAACACATTATTAGATCAATTAACTGGCTTGTTCCATGAATCCATGACCCTAAGGTTATTGGTTGTACATAAGCAGCCTTGTTGTTGTTGTTAAGTGCCATCAAGTTGGTTCCGACCCAAAGTGACCCTGTCTAGGGTTTCCTAGGAGCAGTTGGTGAGCTTGAATTGCCACCTTGCAGTTTAAACCGACTTTGCAGTCCAGCACATTAACCCAGAGCACCACACCAGGACTCCTCAGCAGCCACTATTTTTTGTGTGTGTGTCATTGTTGTAAATATATCTAGTGCACAACTTTTGCCAATTCAACTTTTTTACAACTTACCAACACCAATGACAATAATTGGTTATGCAACCCTACCCTCAACCAATGCGATGCTTCCTTAACTCTCCTTTGCCATCTGTCCTCTCCCGTCCCTGGTAACCACTAATTAACTCTGGTCTCTATACCTTGACCTTTTCTTGTCTTTTCATGTAAGTGAGGTTGTATATATAATATTTGCCCTTTTGTGATTGACTCAGGACTTAGCATAATGTCTTCATCAGAAACCCTATACAGGGTTGCTATGGGTCAGAATTGACTCAGCAGCGCTTAACAGCAATGTCTTCAAGTTTCCTCACATTGTTAACCCTGCTGGCTGAGTAGTAGTCCATTGTGCCTAAGAACCAGTTTGTTTATCCATTCATCTCTGATGGGCATTTAGGTGGTATCTACATTTTGGCCACTGTGGCTATTGCTGTCATGAACCCTGGTGGACAAGTCTCTGTTTGAACCTCGGCTGTCAGGTCTTTGGGATACACCAGGGGGCTTCAAAAAATTCTTGGAAAAATTCCTTTATCTTTTAATTCCATTTTTCTATGAATTTTGTGAAGTTCGTTCTTATATCTAGGAGAGGAATTGTTGGGTTGTACGACAGTTCTTTTTGTAATTTTTTGAGGAGCTACCGCACTGTTTTCCACAAAGGCTGGACCACTTAGCATTTCCACCAGTAATGGGTAGGCATGCGATTTCCCCACATCTCTGCCAGCGTTTGTTATTTTCTGGTGTTTTGTTTGGTTTGGTTTAAATAATGTCAGTCATCTTCGTGGGAGTGAAATGGTATCTCATTGCGATTTTGATTTGCACTTCTGATGACTAATGAAGCCGAGCATCTTTTCATGTGTTTAGTGGCCATTTGAATGTCTTCTTTGACAAAATGTCTATTCAAGTCCATTGCCCATTTTATAAGTGGGTTGTTTGTCTTTTTGCTGTTAAGTTATCCACGTTTTAGATCTATTTTTTGGTTATCAGGTTTTTGTGGCACATAGGGTTTCCAAAGATATTCTCCCCATCGGTATGTAGCTTGTCTTTTCCCTTTTTAGCAGTCCCATAGGGATTTCAGGGGTTGGTATTTCAGAAGTAGATTGCCAGACCTTTCCTTTCAGGTGCCGCTGAGTGGGCGCCAGCCTCTCCTGATTCACGTAAAAGGCCTCAGAAATTATTAGTGATGCTTGTTCACTTGTGAAAGGAGCCCTGGTGGTACGTGGGTTAAGTGCTGGGCTGCTAAACAAAAGGTCAGTGGTTTGAACCCACCAGTCATCCTGTGGGAGAAAGAAGAGGCAGCCTGCTTTGCTTCCGGACAGATTTATAGACTCAGAAACCCCAAGGGGCAGCTCCACTGCTGTGAGCTGGACTCTGGTATGAGATTGTACTTTCTGTCTCCTCGCTGCTCCTTCCCTTTTTTTTTTTTCAAAGGTTTTTATTGTGGATTGAGTGAAAGTTTACAGGGCACATCATCAGTTTCACATTCAACCATTCATATAGCTTGTTTCATTACATTGATTATAATCCCCTCCATATACCATCAGTTAACAGTGTTTCTCTCTATCCTCTTCAGCTTGCCTTTTTGGAATTTACTGTCTCGGCTTTTAGGGAAGGTTTTTACATTTATCTGTGGATATCCAGGGCTCATGTATGAGGTTCCTCCCCTATTAAAAGAGGAAAGGGAAGGGGCTGGTGATCGTCTGCCCACCCCCTCAGTCCCAGCCCCTTGGAGTGTCCTCCCCCTCATTTGAGTGGAACACTGCATTGGTGTGTTTTCCTCTGCTGTCTGGCCCCAGCTAGGACCCCAGGGAGCTGATTGCTCTGGGGCACAAGACAGCTCTTAGAGATGCTTCTCAGTGGGCACCTCTATGGGGCACCCAGGGAGGGGGATTATGCAGAGAGACTCAATCCCTGCTCCCCCTCTCAACAGTCCCTTGAACAAAGAGCGTTGTTGTTAAGTGCCTGCCATCCAAGTAGTTCCGACCCCTAGCGGCCCTGTATAGGGTTTCCAAGGAGCAGCTGGTGGATTTGAACTGCCAACCTTGGGGTTCAAACCGCCTGGGGTTGAGTGCTTAACCTAGAGCACCACATGTAGTAGATGACCATCGTCACTCCAAATATCACATCCATCTTCTCCTGGATCGACCATATCTCTCTAGGTAGGTAAGACTGTTGTCCCCTCTTGAGAGAGGAGGAGATGAAGACACTCAGCTTTATTCAGCCACATGTGGTCTCTGCCCTGCTTCTCATCTGTCCAATGGTTGAGGCCAGTGTGGAGCTATGAGGTGGACTGGGCATGTCAGGCAGGGTCACAGATGACACCAGGCTATCAGGAGGGGAAGAGGAATCAGTGGGGGTCTGCTTCCTCCACTTGTGGACCCCATGCAAGTGACAGCCATGTTGCCTGGTATCCTAATTTGTAAGGGAGTGGTGCTGCGGGTCAATGCACTGGGCTGCAAGGTCAGTTTGAACCACAAGATCAATGGTTCAAGTCCACCAGCCGCTCCTTTGAAACCCTATACAGGGTCTCCATGAGTCAGAACAGTACTTAACAACAATGAGAATGAGGATGATCCTCCCCCTGGAGTTGTGGTCTTGCCAGGGAAGAGGTGGTAGTTTTCACTGTTGGGTGGAGGCGATATGGGGTATGGTTTAGAAGCCCCCACCTTGGGATCTGAGGCATCCCCGAGGTGCTTCCTCTTTGGGGTGCCTCATGGTGGGGGACATTTGCTTCAAAGTTTCCTTTTTGGGCGTCCGAGATCAAGTATCCCGGCCTCACTCCCAGAGAGCCTGGTGTTCAGGGTCTGGACCTCCTGGCTCGGCACCAGCAGCAGGACTGGGCTGGCTTCTTCAAAACCAGGGCCCAAGTGTCTGGGCCTCCCTCTCCTTGCTCATGTCCTGGTTTTGTGACTTCCGAGTGCAGCTTGTTCTCCGGGCCCTTTACAGATGGTGGTGCTCATGGACCCCATGGAAGACCCCGACGACATCCTGCGGGTACACCGCTCCCGAGAGAAGTCCTACCTGTTTGATGTGGCCTTTGACTTCACTGCCACCCAGGTGAGGGGTGTGCCTGGGACACACAGGAACACCCTGCCCCGGACTCTACCGACGTTTCCTCTACCGACCTGTGCACACATCCCACCCTTACATGCACACGCCTAAACGGAACACACCATGGTCGGCCCTTATGGAAGCTGGAGGGATGACCTTGTGGCAGGTGGAGCACAGTGACAGGGAAACTGACACCTGGGAACCCCCATCTTGCCCATCTGCAGGATGCTCCCTGAAGCATATGTGATGCGTCCCTGGGCTGGGGGCCAGGAGGTGGCCCTGGAAGGCAGCTTCTCAGGTGTCCTGAGCTCTGTCTCAGGCTGGTGTCCCCCAGGGATGAAAGCAGAGATGTCCTCTCCCACCCCACAGACCTTCTCCGTGTTGGGGGCTGGCTGCGCCCATCTCCCAGCCTCTGACGATGGCCCCCCTTTCCCTGCAGGAAATGGTGTATCAGGCCACCACCAAGAGCCTCATTGAAGGGGTCATCTCAGGCTACAACGCCACTGTCTTTGCCTACGGCCCCACTGGTGAGGGTCCAGGGCCTGGGGCCCCCGTCTTAGGAGATAAGCTAACCTAACTCCAGCTGGGGCAGCAGTTAAGGTTGTGGCTGATCCCAACCCCACCCAGGGCCCTCCAACCCTGAAATCCCAGCCCCCAGTTCCCTCCCTTCCCCTCCCTACTGCCTCTCAGCCATCTGGGCAACCTGGCATCCAGCACTCATCCCCCACCCACATCCTGCTCAGGCTGCGGGAAAACCTACACCATGCTGGGCACAGACCATGAGCCGGGCATCTATGCCCGCACCCTCCATGACCTCTTCCGTGCCATCGAGGAGACCAGCAATGACATGGAGTATGAGGTATCCATGTCCTACATGGAGGTGAGTCTCCATCCTGGTTGCTGAGGCTTGGACAAGAGTCCCCTAGCTCCGATATCTCCCAGGGGCAGGCTACTGGGCAGTTTCCAAGGGAGCTCCTACATTCACACTAGTAAGCCCCTCTTTATGCAAATCTGAGGCTCAGAAAGGTTAGGAAACTAGGTCATTGGCACAGAGAAAGTGAAGGAGCAGAGATTCAAATGGACGCCCCAGTGGCTTTAAAAGTCCCATGGAAACCCCAGAATTATGCCATCCACCCTGCCACCTACATCCTCATAGTCCAGTTCCTTACAGCAGATCCGTTCAATCTGCCAGATCACTCCCGGTACTCCAACCACAGAGGTACAGGTGAGGGCGTGCACTCCAGGGACAGGTTTCAACCTGAAGGCCTCAACTGCTGAGCCACAGCCCCCAACCCATGCTCACCAGGCAGTGAAGGGACATGCAGGGAGGACAGAAGGCAGAAGATCCAGTGCTCTGGCCTCCCTCGGGCAGCTCAGAGGAGCTGATAATCTCCAAGGTGATAATCACCTGGGCAGTGGGGAGGCTCAAGGCAGGCAGCCAGAGCTGCCCCAGTCAGCAAGACTGACTTTGTTTGTGGGGGCAGGGAGGGGACTGATGGGTTGCCTAGTGGCCAGCAGGGAGGTCGTCTTCATTATCTAGTGCTGCTATAATAGAGGCAGCACAAACACAGGTGGCTTCAACAAACAGAACTTTAGCTTCTCGTAGTCTAGGAGGCTCGAAGTCTCTGGAGGAAGGTCCTATTTCCTGGTTCCTTGGAGATCTCCATGTGTCTTTGATTGATCTCATCCCAACTCTGTTCCCTTGTTTAATTTCTTTTATATCTCCAGAGATGGACTCAAAACACACCCTCCACTAGTCCTGCCTCTTTAACATAACACAGACAATCTATTCCCAACTGGGATCGTAGCCACAGACATAGATAGGATTTACAACATATACTTGGGGAGACATTATTCAAACAGGGCCTTTGATAACTCCCTCACCTGGCCAAGATGTTCCTGCCATTGATTAGATCCCAGGGGCTGAGTCCCAGTGGCTTCAGAACAGTTCAAATGGGTTTCATTGTGATCGATGAACCTAAATCACAACAGACCTGAATTTTAAAAACTGGGTGAAATGGGACAATAGCTGGAATGGGGAAAATGACCCGTCAAAGCCCTGGAATGAGAGACTCTTGGAAGAGGCATAGTGAATCGTTTCAGGAGGCTGATGTGGGTGATTGGATTCTTGCTAGTATTGTGGAGAATTACACACATTCAAAGGGACACACACAGTTGGCCGCCATATTTGAGCCGGGCACCATTGTTTCCGACTCTGTCAATCAAGAGACCATTGCTATGGGCTTGTCTACTGAGAGGGAGATTCTAGCAGGGTGTTGGTTCATAATTTTTCCCATTCTGGTGATTGTCCTGTTTCAGTCACATTTTGCAAATTCAGGTCTGTTCCGGTTTCCATTCCTTAGCCATGATTGAACCAGGAAAGACTTGTTTGAAGTCTTGTTGAGCCCCCATCCCAGTGCCCAGTCTGTGTTCAAAGTATCTCCTTCTTGGTTTTGATGGCTTCTGGGTCTTCAGCTCTGGCAGTCCAATGTGCCCTTGTGGTTGCTGAAGTCCACACTCCCTCCACCTCCCATGGAAAAGAAGGTTTCTCAGGAAGTGTGAACACCTATCCCTTCCAGCTGGGCAAGGTAGGAGCCCAGCTCTGTCTCCCATTAACACACCCATCCCATCAGATCTACAATGAAATGATCCGGGACCTGCTGAATCCTGCCCTGGGGTACCTGGAGCTGAGAGAGGACTCCAAGGGAGTGATCCAGGTGGCTGGAATCACTGAAGTATCTACCATCAACGCCAAAGAGGTGAGTCCAATAGTCCGGGGCAGGGGCAGGGATAGTCACCACCTGAGGGGACAATCAGACCCCACCCACCTGTCAGATACAGAGCCTCTGCCTGCCCTGGGGACACCTCTTCTCTGAAGAAGTCCCTGCAGGAGCACCCCACGGGTCCCCGGAACCCCATCTCCATGCCCAGATCATGCAGCTGCTGATGAAGGGGAACCGGCAGCGGACCCAGGAGCCTACGGCTGCCAACCAGACATCGTCACGCTCCCACGCAGTGCTCCAGGTGGCCGTGCGCCAGCGGAGCCGCATCAAGAACATCCTACAGGAGGTGCGGCAAGGCCGCCTCTTCATGATTGACTTGGCTGGCTCAGAACGTGCCTCCCAGGTGAGCCTGAGGGACTCAGGGTGAGGGGAAGGCAGAGTGGTGGCTTCATAAGTAAAGAGAGGGTCTCCCTTCAGGGCAAAGGTGAGTGGTGTCCCAGGGTAAGGGACTCAGAAATGTCCTAGAGGAGCAAAAAAGGGGAGCAGGTAAGGAAGGGTATCCTGAAGAAGAGACAAGGGGGGTTATTTGTAGGAAGGGGAGAAGGGCAGAAAGCCATGGGAGAGCAGAGAAGACAAATGGGAGGGCCCTGGAGAAGCAGCGAAGACACACCTGGCCGGGCCCTGGAGAGGGGTCAACCCCTGGCACCCATTTCTCCAGCATCTTGTCCCTCCATTAAGCCCAGCTTGCCTGGCTCTGAAGCCTTGGGCAGTCAGCATCAGCCAGGAGACAAGCTGCTGCTGCAGGGCAGCTAAAGAGAGGTGGTTGGGCAGTGTGAGCACTGGAGACCATGCTGGAAAGGCCAGTGGCCAGCAAGAATGAACAGGGATCCAGGTATGAGCATGTGCAGAGGGCTGGGGGAAACACATGTCTCCTCCAGGAAGGTCCCAGAAGGCCCAGGAGGCAGGGTGGGAGGAGAGCTGTGCAAAAGGCTGGGCCAGAGACCCACAGTTCCCCCCTGCCACAACTGGACACTGGCCCACAGATCCAAGAAGAGGAAAAGATCCCACTGTCCAATGATGTAGTGCTCACACTCACACCCTCCCCCTCACACTCAAACCCACATTCATTCACATGCATGCTCACACTCACACACATGCCCACTCACATTCAAACCTCACACTCATTCACATGCATGCTCACACTCACATACATGCTCACTCACATTCAAACCCCACAGTCATTCACATGCATGCTCCACTCACACCCCCACACTCAAATCCATACTCACTCACACACATGCTCACACTCACACACATGCCCACTCACATGTGCTCTCACACATGCTCTAACCCATACACATGCTTTCTCCTACACATATTCATGCACATACACCCATATGAACTCATGAACATACATGCTCTCTCACACACGCTCTCACACATGTGCACAATACAAAATGCACTCACACATGCAGTTGCACACAGGTTCCCATGTGCATACAATGCTCGCTGACACACATGATCACACACATGCATAGTTTCACACATATACACATGCTCAACACAATACATTCCTGTAAGCTCATGAACATGCATGTTCCTGCACACCCGTGCACAAATGCACACACACACAAACTTACACATGTGTGCTCTCACACATGCTCACATACATGCATGCACATGACCTCACAAACAATGCTCTCAGACAATGGTCTCACACACACATATGTATACTCACACACATGTTTGCACTCACATGCTCTCACTCAAACACACTCACACATTGCTCTCTCACACATGTGCTCTCTCTCACATGTGCTCCCTCACACAGTGCTTGCACACACATGTGCTCCTGCACACACGTGCTCCCACACACACGTGATCCCGCACCCGCATGCTCGCTTGCACACGTGCTCGCACACAGTGCTCTCTCCCGCACACAGGTGTTTGCACACATGTGCTCCCACACAATGCTCTCCCATACACATGCTCTCTCATACATGTTCACACACTCACATGCTCTCTCACACACATCTCATGTACTCAAACTCCCAATTTCACATGTACTTATACTCACATTCCCACACTCATGCATATGTACACACACACTCACATCCACAGAATCCCCAGGTGTGTACTCACTCACGCATGTGTTCCCTCACACACACTCACCCCCTTCATCTCTCACACCGACAGTCACATTCTCTCAGTAACACACCCATTCTCTCTCTCACACACACAGCCCTCTCCCCTCCCTCCTGGCCTGGAAGCCTGGGGTGCCCTCCCGTGCTCTGAGACCTGTGGATGTGCCAGGCTCTCAGCTGATCCATGGGAGGCTGGGCACGAGGACCACAGGCTCCCTCTTCTCTCACTCCTGGCACCATGTGTTCAGCTGTGCCCGGCGGGCCCAGGAAAGACCAAGACCTGGGCATCCACCATCCTACTTGGAAGTTGCCAGCCATCAGCCTTGTTCAGAGTTCTTCCACTCACCAAGGCCCTCTGGTGGCATCCCCAGAGGGCCCAAGGGAGAAGAAGTAGTTCCTAACCTAGACTCATCCTGGGCACTCCGGGGTGCAGGGGTAGCTGAAAAGGAACCCCATCCCTGCCCCATAAGCCACAGTTAAGTCCCCGGCTCCCCAGACACAGAACCGTGGGCAGCGCATGAAGGAGGGTGCCCACATCAACCGCTCCCTGCTGGCCCTGGGCAACTGCATCAACGCGCTCAGTGACAGGAGCAGCAACAAGTACATCAACTATCGTGACAGCAAGCTCACCCGGCTCCTGAAGGTACCAGGCTGCACTCCAGGAGAGGGTCCCCAGGTGTAGCAGGAAAAAGACAGCATGCCATTACATTTCAATCTCAGATAGGCAGCTACCTGAAAATGTAGTAGAAGTATGGGGTTGCTGTTAAGTGCCATCGAGTCCATTCCGAGTCATGACAATCCTGGATGGGGTTTCCAAGGAGCAGCGGGTAGGTTTGAACCGCTGACCCTGTGGTTTGCAGTCCTGTGCCAATCCTGTAACACAGGACTGCGAACTCCATGCAACATTTGGGGCATGCTTGTACCAAAACATCATTGTTTATCTGAGACTCAAATGTAGCTGAGTGTATTACTTATTTTACCCGGCAACGGTTGGGCAGCCGGGAAAGAGGTTGCTGACACTTCTGGGGACTTTGGATCTGAGGAACCAAGAAATGCCTAGACTTGTAGGCCAGTTCACCAGCACCGTACCCACGGAATCTGCTGTTGTGAGGTCACCTTTTTTGCAGGGGTGCCCTTGGCTTTTCAGCACAGTGACGTTCTTTAGTGCCCAGGCCTGGCTGGGTTCTCCATTCAGTACTTCACCTTTACTACCTTGTTTCTTTGACAACAACTCTGTGAATTGAGGGATTGTTACAGGCAGGCTTTGTCTTGTTGTGTCTTTATTGTGCTTCACTGGTATGAGAGGGCTTCAGAAAGTTCCTGAAAAATGCAATTGAACAATGATGGTATTTCTTTGCAAACTTTCTGAAGCCGTCTCCTATAGTATTTCTTATAAATCCGAGGTTTGTGTCAGCCCTCTGTCAAGCAAGTGTATGGGGCCATTTTTCGAACAGCAAATGCTTGCTTGGAGTTGCTATGTTACATTTTGCTCGTTCTCACGGTATTTCAAACATTTTCATATCACTGTTTGCACACCTAACAGACGACAGGACAGCGTATATACAGCCGGAAACCAAAACATTCACGTGACTCGCTTTAGTGTGGTATTTGTAGTTTAATTTGTAGATGAGGAAAGTGAGGCACAAGCAGGCCAAGTACCTTTCCTAGGTCTCACGCTAGTAACAAGCCTGCTTCTCTAACTACAGTTAGCTACAGGTCATTTGTTAGCTGCCATCTGCGCCCGCCCCCCCCCAACCCTGGGAGGGAGGGACCATTTTAAAAAGTGACAAGACTTGCTAAGGGTCATAGCTGGTGGCTTGACATCCTCCCCCCCCCCTCCCCCCGTGTTTACACCACATGCTTCCCTCTGATGAGGCGCCTTGTTGCAGAGATCTGCCAAGCTCAGGGCAGGGAGAAAGCAGCCACAGGGCCAGACCAGCCCCCTGAGCCCACAGTTGGAGGCCTAGGGGTTGCATGGGGGGTGGTAGCAAGGAATGAGGCAGGGTGCCCTCCCCCATCAAGGTATGTACACTGGCTGACTTCTGATCTGCTCCCAGCCAAACAGAGCCTGTTCCTCTTCCTCCTCCCGTGGAGATGGGGAAACCTGGGACCCTGTCTGGGATGGGGAAACAACCCTTATAGAAAGTTCTGAAGAGACAAGGGGAAGTGGAGATGAAGCGAGGGAGGACAGGGGACTGGGGAGTCTCTGTGATGACAAGTCCCAGCACCGCCCAGCCACGCCTCAAGTGTGTGCGTGTGTGTGAGTGTATGAGTGTGTGCAGGAGTGTAGGTGTATGCGTGTGTTTGTGTGAGTGGGTGAGTGTGAGTGTAGGTGTATGTGTGTGAATACATGTGCGAATATGTGTCTGTGAGGCTATGTGTTTGAATATGTATTGAGAGTGTGTGTGGGTATGTGTGAGTATGAGGGGATGAAATGAGTGTGTATGCATGTGTGTGCAAGAAAATGTGTGTGAGTGAGTGTGAATGTGTGTGAGAGTGAGGATGTATGAACGTGAAGGAGTGAAGTGAATATGTGTATGTGTGTGAAGGTACGTGAGTGTGTGTACGGGATGAGTGTGTGTATATGTGTGAGTGTGTGTATGGGGCGAGTGTATGTTGTTGTTGTTGTTAAGTGCCATCGAGTCGGTTCCGACCCATAGCGACCCTGTACAGGGTTTCCGAGGGTGTAAATCTTTACGGGAGT